TGCCGCATCAATGTTCTCTGTGCCTTAGTCCAAGCCTTTCCACTCAGCAGTATTTAATACCACTTTGCTCCTCCCCCTTGTCTGTCATGTGTGCTCTGTAGCATGTTTTGATTTGATTAATTCCAATTTCCCCAAAGTTAATACTTCCTATTGATGACAGTTGAGATGCGGTTCTTTCAGTAGTACTTGAGTGAGCTTCAAAAATGTGTAGCAGTATATATTTAAATTTAAAGTGAAGTGGAAAAAATACTCTCATAAAGTACGTAATTGGACAGTCTTGTATTGCTTAGATTAAGGTTAAAGTAAATATTAAAGTTTTTACATAATGATTTTACATAAAATTTTAGACAATATGGTAAAACTATGGAGATGTCACAGGAATAGCTGACACCCATTAAGAGAGTGAGCTTTGTTATTTTCACTTCCTGGAATATGCAGGGGAAAAGTTTATCCTTCTGTTTAGGACTAATTGAAATCCAAGATTCTGCATAAAGGGCCAAATGTGCTGGGAAAATTTAGCATCGTGACGAATGAGAAGTCCAGTATTGGTGATGTGTGTACTTGGGTCCTGTTGATGGTGAGTCTAGGGGGCTGAGGGTGCAGTTCAGGTGTGTGGGCTGCTGCTTTCCAGGGTAAAAAGGAAAACCAAAGCCACAGTCAGTCTTTAAGGGGTGTGTAGGAGAGCTCTTAGAGCTACTGCCAGGTTTGGGGCAACTGGCTGCTCTCTCCTAATTGGACAGCTGAAAGGAGAAAGCAATCACAGCGTGATGAGAATCACCAGGGTTGCAGTGTTGCTGTGCTCCATCCTACCCCCGCTTGGTCCTCTCCAGTCTCCTGCATCACCCCTACTCTGTGTGGAGGAGGGACCAGGAGCCAGGCTGCTGTGAGCAAGGTGTGAGGCACAGCCAGTGATGGGGGAGCAGACCGCAGGCTGTGGCACTGCAGGTTGTGCTCTTGCTTTCCGCCAGGGTTAACTAGCTCTGGAGTGCCTTCAAGGAAGGAGCCCAGAGCAGCAATTAGTGTTAGTCATCCTCCTCCTGCTCTGGAAACACAGGCTTCTCCCGACTAAGCTGGGACATTTGTTTACCCTCTCCCTGTCCTTTCTCCTTGGAGATCTTCCCAGTGTGTGTGTGTGGGGAGAGGGGGGTTGTGTTATAGTCCAGGAATCACGGTACCTGTAAGGCTCCTTTCCTTCTCCCCTGGATTAAAGCGATCAATTGTGAAACCAGCTTTGACAACGATATTTTTGTAAAAGAAGGCCACCGGTGTCTTTATTCACATGAGTGAAATCAAAGTTCAGTTGTACCCAGAAGTTTGGTGGGTGTGGCAAGCACAATGATTGCTTCAGGAACAGGAGGCCTAGGATGCATGCAGTTTCTCCCAGCCCAGTGAAGTGCAGGACGCTGCCTGTGATGCTTTGTTACAGCATCTCCCAGTTTTCCCTTTAGCCTCCTGCCATGCCTCAGCTGATGGACTGGTAGCAAGTGCTCCAACTGATTCACAAGTTTCCCTGAAGAGAAATGATTAGGTTTAACCCAACTGCTTATGGCATTCTGAGTGCTGAAAGGCAGAAAGGAACCAGTTTTATTAGTTCCTGGTTTGAGTAAGAATGGGTCCTTGTTTGGGGAGTGGAGAGGAGAATGAAGTAATGAATGAACTCACTGAGCGGCTTGTTTACACAACAGGGCCCTCAAGCGTTAGTTGCTGAATAGGCGTCATCCATGCTTGGACTTTGAGAATATCTAAACAAAACGCATTGGGTACTTCAAGCTGAGATCTGAAGAAATTTGGCAGTTAGTTCTTGTGCCACAGGAAGATTTTAGGTTTATATTTCAGCATTTGAAACTCCACCTTCTGTTGAACATTGCTGGTGTGAGACAGCTCACAACACAGGTCCTGCCGTTCCATTTTGTATGCTTTACAAGTGTATGGTGCTTTCCAGGGCATGAAGGAGCACTCTGGTTACACACTGTGTTCATACACATGTGGTTGGTGGGAAACCATTACGACTTTATATTCTCCTCCACGTAGGAAGCTTAGCACGTACCTAAGGAATACTCAGTGTGTTAGGCGTGCTGTGAGATTGTATTATGTCACAATCATTTCTTGCCTTTTACATCTACGTGTGTCTTGTTTGTTTTTGGATGTGGAAGTGATAAGAGCTCTAAAAATGACCACTGGTAGCAGACCTCTTTACCACAAGGCTATTTCTGTGTAACTGTCACACCACATGTCATTTTCCAAGGAACATCACTCAAAAGGGTTCATTTGGAGAATAAGCAACTCTCTGACAGTCTGGCTTAAAAGAAGTGTTTTCCTTTTTCTTACTATGTCCTCAGTTTTTCTAAGTTTTTTTTTTTTCTTTTTTGGTACTGGGGTTCAAACTTGGGTCTTGTGATTGTGAGGCAGGTGGTGGAACCACTGAGTAAATCCCCTGCCCTTTTCTAAGGAATTTTAAGGAAAAACACTTAAAAACAAAAAGAACAAGGCTCTTGGAAACAGCTCATTTGCCCATCAGTTGGAGACTGGATAAAGAAGATGTGGTTTTTCTATAAAATGGAATACTACTCAGCCATAAAGAATGAGAAATTAGATTCATTCCTAGGAAAATGCATACATATTGAGGATATACTCCTAAGTGAAATAAATAAGTCACACATGTGTAAAATACTGAATACTTTCTCTGGTGTGAAAAACTATAATGGTACGTAAGATCCTATATAATTGACAATGTGAAATAGGAAGAAAAGGGTTAAAGGTGTAGGGAAAATGGAAAGGGTAGGGGAAAGGTAATAAGGGAAAAGAAAAAATATGAGAAAATGAAAAAATGGAAATAAAATGTTTGTAAATGGGAAAGGGAGAAGTGGGTGAAGGGAGGGCAGGAACAAGGGATAAAAATGAGAACCAAGACCTGTCATGTAAAGATACAAGATCACAATGATGAATGTAACTGTACTGTATACCTAAAATGTACCAATAAACTCAATGAAAAAAAAAATAACAAAGCTAGAGGCATGGTACTACCTCATTTCAAAACATGCTACAAAGCTACAATTATCAAAACAGCAAGGCATTGACATAAAAATACATAGACCAATGGTACAAGAGAAACAGCCAACAAATTTGTTTGGTTGCAGGCAGTCAAGTTTTTTTCTTTTTATTGAGCTCATTGGTACATTCTAGGTATACACTACAGTTACATTCATTACTGGGATCTTGTACCTTTACATGACAGATCTTGGTTCCAGGAAATCAATTTTTGACAAAAATGTCAAGAACATGCGGTGGGAAAGGACAATCTCTTCAGTGCATGATTTGGAGAAAACTGGATAGCCCTTGAGGAGTAATGAAATTTAGCTGTTTTCTTTTACTATAAAAAACATACTCAAAATAGGTGAAAGACTTGAACATAAGACCACAAACTATAAAATGGTTAGAAGAAAACAGGAGGAAAGCTCCATGATAATTTTATGGGCAATGGTTTTTTTTAGGATATGACCCCAAATATGCAAGAAAGCCAAAATAGACAGATGGGAATATATCAAACTAAAGATCTTCTGTACCACAGTGGAAATAGTCAACAGAGACATATTTCAGAAGGGGAAAAAATATGTGTAAACCACACATCTGATAAAGGATTAATATCCAAAATATACAAGGAAATCAATAGTATAAAAGATTTTTAAAATGGGAAAAGGGTCTGCATAGATATTTCTGAGGACATGCAGACAGTCAACAAAAGGTTCACATCGCTAATTATTGGAGAGATGCAAATTTAAACTACAGTGAAATCACGTCACACCTGCAGAGTGGCTGCTATCAGTAAAGGTTAAGCATAGCAAGTATTGATTAGGACGTGGAGGAAAGGGAGTGTTTGAACAATGGTGTGGTGATGTATTTTTGTTTAATTTTTTTTCCTCATTGAGTTTATTGGTACATTTTAGGGATACAGTACAGTTACATTCATTATTGGGATCTTGTACCTTTACATGACAGGTCTTGGTTCTCATTTTTTCCCCTTGTCCCTGCCCTGCCTTCATCCCCTCCGGTGTGGTAATGTAAATTAGCATAGTTATTAAAAAACAGCAGAAAGTTTTTCCAAAATTTAAAAATGGAAGATACCATACAACCCAGCAGCCCCACTACAAGGCTTACATCCAAATGAAATAAATCAGTACATCAGAGAGCTATCCAGAGTCCCCTGTTTACTGTAGTACTAGTCACAATAACCAAGATACGGAATCAACGTAGTTCTTCTTCAGTAGATGAATGGATAAAGAAAATGTGGCACACATAATAGAATACTGTTCAGCTTTATGGAGAAAATCCTGCCAGTTTTAAAACATAGATTAACCCGCAGGACATCATGTTAACTGAAATACATGCTATGGAAAGACATATGGAATGATATCCTTTATATGTGGAATCTAAAAAGGTTGAACTCAGTAAGAGAGTGAACAGTAGTTATCAGGCTTGAGTGAGATGTGGGGGATGATGGGAATATATTGGTTAAATGATACATAATTTCAGTTACGAGGAGGAGTAAGTTTAGATCTATTGCACATCACAGTGATTCTAGTCAGTAACAATGAATTTTATTCCTGCATATTGCTAAGAGTGTATTTTAAGTGTTCTCTCCATGAATGCTTGGGGCCATACCCAAAATATTATAAGTGTACGAAGTAATACATATGTTGGTTGACTTAATTTGGCCATTTCACCCTGTATACATATTTCAAAACATGCTGTACATGATAGATATGTCCAATAATTTGTCAATTCAAAAAAAACTTTAGGAAAGGATCTTGTCACCGGCCCAGGATTATAATTCCTCTCTTTTCAATATGTTCAGTGCTTCTTCATTATAAAAATAGTAAATACAAGGAATTATATTTTATTCTCGCTTTATAAGAACAGCAACAATGACAGTAAATAATACATATTGGGCAGCCCCTGGAACTAGGATCTCGGTGTGCCAACTAATGCATTTCTCCCAGCAGTGCATCCCGTGAAGAAACAGACTCCTAGAGATTAACATCCTACCTGAGGTCATTTATGAAGTAAGTACTGGCCTCACTTTGGACAAAGCTTATGCACATTTTCTTACACTGCATGGAAATAAGTAAAAGTTCTCTAACGTCTTTCCACTTATGAATGATTTCACAACTGTTTAAAGAGGCAAAGAAATCCTGCTTTCAAATTCTCGTTAATGACAGAATGAGAACAAGCCATGACTGGCTTCTGGTTTCGGTCAGACAGATCCACTGTGGCAGGGGGTGTGGCAGAGTAAAGCTGCTGTGTTCATGGTAGCCCAGTAGCAGAGCAGAGCAGAGGACCAGTGAAAGGGAGGAAGGGACCCAGATGTACAGGGCTGCCTGAGGCCCCGCCTCCACGACCCATCAGGACACACCCGGGAGTGTGTCCTACCGCCCTCGGACTGGATCCCGTGGCCAATCAAGTTGACACCCCACCCTGACCACCACACCCATCTCGTGAGGATCACACAGGATTCTCCAAGCAGGATGTGCCACTTTTGAACAGCTGGAATGATGAATAATAGCACTTCACAACTTTGCAGTTGACATGCGGCTTGGGTCTTTAAATATCTCATTTCTCTTAAGAAATCTTGTTCTTATTTTTCATTTCTGTCCTTCCATTTATTTCACTCATAGGAGCAATAGAGACTTTCTACCTAAAATGTAGGTGAGATGGGAGTGGTAGATATTTCTAATATTTGTGGTGGACTCTCTTTTTGCTCAGTTTTCGTTAGTACGGTTCCTGTAGATTTGACAATAGAATTGAGTTTTGATTTGTTCTTGTATGAATCTTTAATATCAAACACTTCGCTGAGGTGGCTTTGTGCACATGACCCCTCCTCCTTACTGCTACCACACACACACGCACACACAATTTTGAGAGACAGGAATGTTCCTTATCCACTGCAGCAACTTGCAGCTTTAACAGTAGATCTCTGTGTGATGCACAGTTACAAAGTAAATCTTTGGGAAAGAAGAATGTTGCTTTAGATTTAAGGATTCAGAATTTAACTTTTGATATACTTGTTAATGCCATTGTAGGTGAAACACATAGAAAGTGTTTTGTTTTAGGTCTCCTCAAATGTGTTTCTTTGTGCTCTTTAAAAATATGTCCTAGGCTGGAGATTTAGCTCAGTGGTTCTGCCACCTGCCTTGCAAGTGCAAGGTCCTGAGTTCGATCCTTAGTACCAAAAACAAAATAAAACAAAGCAAAAACAACAGCAGCAACAAAAAAATGTAAAAAAAAAAAATGCGTCCTGAGGCTTTGATGAGTGGAAAAAAAAAAAGGAAGCCGTATTTTTTCCTTCTAGTTTGGAAAGGTACCATACATTTTAATCTTGAGACCTGTATGTATAGATAAGATCTGGATTTCTTTTTCTACTTTTTTCCTTGTCTGTGAGGTGCGAATGTGTTAAAGAAAGTGTGTAATCAGATAAGGCTCAGAAAATGTGTTCATAAGACTCAGATGGAGAAAAATCACATAATTGCACAGGGATCCCATGACTGGGATCTGTGGCTGAGCCCCAGTGAAACAAATTGGGCGTGATAAGGGAACCCTCTCCCTGAGCTCTGTGAGCCCTGTAACAAAGGATCAAGGGCAAAGAAGGTGCCAGGGAACCCTGCTTTGTAGCTGGCTGGTCAGAGGCACAGAAGGCCTAGGATTGTCTGCTGAAGCTGGGGCTGCCTGGGGGGAGTCCTCAACAGGGTGGGGTGTCTGAGGCCAGCCCTGGGAGCTCTGGGAGTTAGTGCCAGCCTTGAATTGTCTCATTGGCCTTGCAGTTGGTTTTGGGGAGTTGGAAAGTTGGTTGGTGGTGTGGAAAATACCCACACAATTGTCTAAGAGTCCTCTCCTTACAGGGTTTACGCATAGGTAGGACCTTTTCCCAATTTTTTATTTAGAAATATTAGTGCTCACAGAGATTCACTCTTTGAGATGTATTAGTACTAAATCACCTTCCTCAATTTCTAGTCCTTCCTTCTGTGTTTAATAGCTGGTAGCTTGTCCATGCAAGTCACTGCTTTGTTTGTTTTGTTTTGTTTTTTGGTACCAGGGATTGAACTCGGGACCTTGCACTTGCGAGGCAGGTGGTGGAACCACTGAGCTAAATCCTTGGCCCTTTGCAAGTCATTTTAAAAATAATGCTTGAATTTGAAACACTTTGCTTGCTTATGTTATGCACTGAACTTGTGTAATAGCTACTGCTTTTAAGATTTTTGGTACTGGTCAGTGGGTCTTAATCCTCAAGGCTGAGTTAAGTGGCTTTGTCTCCATTTTGTAAGTGAGAAGAACAGTGATGGAGGTGGTAAGAAAGCTGCCTGTGTCGCTAGCGCAGAACCTTGCTGGTCTGACCAGGTGGGGGTACACATTACTGAAGCAGGCAGAGGAAGAGGAAGCTGCCATGGGCTGAATGTGTCCCCCTAATTCCTATTGAGGCTGAGTTTCCCTGCAGAGCTCTCCTGGGTGGGGGATGTGCCCCGCGGACAAGGTGCAGGGAGTTGCTTTGCTCCCCCGCTGCCCTCTGCCATCAAGACACAGCAAAGGGGCCCTCACCAGACACCAAATGGCAGCACCTTCATCGTGGACTTCCCGGCCCCTAAAGCTGCAAGAAATAAATGTCTGTTATTCATAGGCTCCTCGGTCTCAAGTTTGTTGTTGCAGCAGGAAAAGTGGCTGAGAAGAAGTTAAAGGGAGGGTGGTGAGGATGGTCACATTCATTGTGAGCCTTGTGGAGCCCAGAGCATCCTCTCTTCGGCTAACCAAATCCTGGGGCTTGAATGCTTCTTATAGTTGTTGCAAAGGGAGGAAGAGGTGAGGCACGTCTTCACTCAGATACAGTAATGTGGAGAAAGTATCCAGCAGGTAGCAGAATTTCAGACTCCCCATAGAGTCTCACCCGTGAGACTTCTGAAGAGAGATTCACCAGTCAGGATTGCCCTGAGGTGGGTGGGACCCTCTCACACACTTCACTCCTGAGATCTTCAAGGAGACATGGGGCCCAATGTCAATAGAGTGACCGAAAGATTAAAATTAGAGGTTTGAATCAGTAAGCCTTCAATTCTATGAAAGTGAGGTGTAGGTTGTGTTTTAAAAGAGTGATAGTCAAGGAAAAATGCTTGGTGGATCTGTGCTCCACCAATCCTGCTCTGCTGTTAGTTTCAAAACGACGTTTTGAAACTTTCCCCCAGCTATGTCTAGTCTCTGAAGCCCAGGGACCACAGCTCTCTGGAGGAAGTGACCAGCGGACCTTTATGGGGGAGAAACCCCATAAAGACGGTGGTGTGCGGTCAGCCAAAAAAAGCCTTTTTCTTGTTCCCTTTCCCCTGATTCCTAAACTCCCTGAGCATTCAGTATAAAGAGCTCCAAGTATAGAGTATGCAGGAAACTATGTTTACATAGACTATACTTTGGATAAGAAGTTGGAAACAGTATAAGCCTCATTTCACTCTGTTATGGGCTTTTAGTGCATATTTATTATAACATAATATGAGATTTGGAGTAATTTCAATTTGTTTTTTACATCCCAAGGCACTTTGTGAGAATAAACTTTTTTTTTTTTGTGATCTCTTCTTAAAACCAGACAAGGGCCAGTGATGAAGTGCAAACACAGGCTCTTTAGATCCTTTCTCTAAACCTACTGGGCTTTTTTCCCTTGCTTCCTTTAGGGTGGCAGCAGGTCTTACTGAAAGTGAGTAAAGAACAGGGCTGGTAGCAGAGATGCTCAGGAGCTCTGATGGAGCAGTCACACACCTGCCCGGCAGAGAGCAAAGGTCTCTGGAGAAAGTGACCATCCCAGCTGTGTCACTTTTGTTACCTTTAGGCGTGTTAGCCAGACATTTCTTACTCTAAAGCAGTTACTTAGTTCAATTTTTATATGTTCAATTTCTGATGGGATTTGGAAGAAATTGTGTATAAGAAAAGCATTTCTCAGGATAGTCAGAAGCTACCTTGAGTGCACTTGAAGGAATTAAGTGACCAAATTTGGCTTCAAATGGGAACACAAGGTTTAAACTGACCTGTACCTGTGCTGCAGGACTGGATGCTCAGGGGGCTGCTAGACGGAGAAGGAAAGAAGGCAGAAACCATCGGCAGCAGGGGCCTCTGCTTGTCCATTGTGAGTCACAGCTCCGGTCTGCTCTCTGAGGAGACCTGGAGGTGGGCAGGTGATATCCAGGAATGCGACAGTAACACAGTCTGCGGCTGTCCCTCTCTGCATCTGTGCTTTCTGGTGGGTTGCTAAGCAGTGAAGTGGTTCGGAGTGCTTGAAGACATCTGGTTGTGGTAACCGACGGGTGGGTGCAGGCATAGGACACATGGGCATGTACTCGGTAGGGTCAGCACCTAGTAATCTGGGCCAAAAATGCAACATACAACAAGCCAGGTAGCTGCACTTTAAAGAGAACGGGTACTCTAAGAGAAGGTGGTATCTGGGTTTGCACCACAATTTCTTAGTGTCCATATATAGTTTTTTAACCACTAAAATCAAAGGCTTCAGTGGGATTTTATTTTGAACTGTTACATTCAAATGTATAAAACAGTTTTTATAAATGTAGGCACTAAGTGTAAATTTGTAGTATTCTTAAGAAGAGAAGAATAAAATGCTCATCTGCTTTATTTTCATATTTGACTTTTGCCACAAGGTGAAAACAGTTTTTTTTAATGTTAGAAAAGTACTTAAAGTTTTCATTACACTAAGGGGGTAATATATTTGTGTGCAACACTACAATCTTTAATTTTGAAGATGATCTTTTTTGCAAACTAAGTCTCAGGTAGAAATAGAAAGTTGACTAGCAACCTTAAAAACTCAGTCTTACAGAGCCATACTAAATATTATGCCAACTATTTCCCAGCATTATAATAAAAAAAACATTTAGGCATCTCTGTAAATCTTACATGTGGTTATTCGTGTTCACCCGCAGGATTTTTATCAACATTATGCGAATTCATATTGTGTCTGCCATCTTGTAGCGAAGGACAGGGGGAGACAGAATGGTGGTCTCCGGAGACTCGAGGTCTTTGGTATTTATGACAGCCCACAGATGGTATCCATCATCTGTTCCTGGGCTCCATTTGTATCCCCCAAAGGTACTGCCAGACTAGAATGTGCTGTCATTATTTAAGGTCCTGTGTATCGTGTTTTTCTAAGAAAGTGCATTCCTCACTTATGCATGGGATTTTTCCTATTCTGGGGAGCATGAGATCAATAATCCTTATTGCTGTTGCTGTTCTTAGAGTGTTCTTCTGGAACATTTAGATTGATAGCTACCAAGTTGTAGTGCTGCACATAGCAGAAAATATCCTACATATGACCCTTGCAGGATAGAGATCTTGGACTTTTTTTGTCTGTGCGTGTGTGTGATGGGGATTGAACTCAGGTCCTTACACTTGTGAGGCAGGCGGCAGAGCCATTGAGCTAAATCCTCGGCCCTCTTAGAAATTTTGATATGGCATTTTTCATGTTCACCTTCATCTGAGTGTATAGTTCTTCGGATATTGTTGACTTTCATTTATTTACTCCTCAAAAAAAAAAAAACCCTACCAAAATACACATTAAAAGCAATGCAAATTCCTTAAAGACTGTGCAAATACCAACATACATAAAAAAGCTAAATCCAACTTTTTTTTTCCTTCCCCTTAGGCATATTGGATGACAGACTATTAATGGTGATGCGAACTAGTAAACACAGGTAAATATATGAATGGCTCCTAATATGTGCACGGATATCAGCAGAATTGATTGATCTCAGGGGAGTTATTTTCTTTATTGAAGGATATTTTAATATAAATTATTATCTGTTGAAAAACTGTGCTCCAGGCACCCAACATATGGTGAACAGGAATTAATGCATTTAACTACCCAAACTTTGAGAAACCAGCGATACTCCTTCCTTATGATAAAACCAGCGTTTTGAAAGGGGATCACTGGTGAAATCTGAGAAAGAACCCCGTCCGCTGAGTTGCAGCATCCACGACTCCTTCTAGGGCTAGACTTGGTCAAAGAGCCGGTTAAATGGTTTGCTCTGGCTACCGAGTCTGTGAGCGGCGGAGGCCACTGGGTGGGAAGGGTGGACATAAATAGGCATGAGCAGGGACAAGCTCGGCCCACTGGGGACATGTTGGAGGCCACGGGGCCAGAAGAGAATCTGTACCTGTCTAGCCCAGCCTTGGGGAGGAGCAGGTGCCGAGGTGCACACACCAGGCTCACAGTCTAGGTGTTGAGTGACTTCCTGGGCCCACAGGTCAGGGACAGCATGCAGGATCTGCCTGGCATGTGTCCTGGTCCCTGGGGCTGCAGCTCTCCCCCAGACTTGCTTAGTTCTCTTTGACCAGCCCCTATCTGGTCACCCAAGGAGAAGAATCCTTAGAAATGTATTTCCAGCTTAGCTAAATCTGCACCCTACAACCTTGCTCCAGCAAAGTTAAGCTGTGGAGTCAGGGTCATCATGTTTCTTAGTGGTAGGGCCAAGATGCATGACCAGATCTGCCTAATGCGAGAGAGCTGGGATGGAATTAACTCCTGTCCCAGAGCCTTATTGCCTTCTGCTTCCTTGGTTAAGAGAACAAGTTCAGTAAGCAGTTTATTCAGCACGTAGTTGAGAACTTTCTAAATATCAGGCTCTGTGAGTAACACCACGGGCAAATGAGCGTGGTTCCTCTCCTTTCAGAGTTCGTTTTGGGAACAAACTTGGCAAAGTTAGAAGGTAGAAGAGGTAGCCAAGCTGAGAGTCAGAGGGGCCTTCTCAGAAAACAATGAGACCAGTGGAGGGTGTAGCGGGAGGGGAGAGGGAGAGCTGGGAGGGGTCCGCGCTCCGGGTCTAGGTGGTGACGCACCTCACAGGAGAGGGAGGAGCATTGCTGATGGTCCCTCTGGGGTTCCCCCTTTGGGCTTTGGCCTGTATCCCGCTATGGTTGTCTCACTGCAGAGTATGAATTCGTTTAGTCTTCATTCTAAAGGTGGAGCCTTAGTCCGTTGGGGTTGCGGTAGCAGTGCTATAAACTGTGTGTAGAAGTTTGTTTCTTGCCCTGGAGAATGGAAAGGACCTGTCCGAAGCGCTGGTGCGTTCTCTGTGGGGTGCAGGCCATTTCCAGGTCCGATGGCCTCTTCTCAGGGTCCTCACAGCTGAAGGCGCACACGAACTCTCGGATCTCCCTCCGATTTGATTTTTGTATTGCTGGGGCTCAAAGCCAGGGCCTCACAGGTGCTGGGCCCCACTCCACTGGGGCTCCGTCCTCCAGGCCTTCCGTGAGGGTGCTCATTCCATCCGCATCTGACTGGCCGTCAGGACCAAGTCACCCGTCACAGACGTCTCCTGATACCAGCACCCCGTGCCTCAGGGTTCTGGGACGTGGACTTCCGGGGACAGAAGCCCCTGATTATATCCGCATCCTTGGAAGTCCACCCCGTGGCAGTTCCTAGTCGGTCAGCGCTTGGTTCACCCGGGCATCGTCCATGGAGGGACACTGTAAAGCGGTCTTCGGAGTGAACCCTCCCGAGGCGGTGCGGTCAGCAGAGCCAGCGCGGGACGCAGGCACTTGTGGCGCTCACCCGGTTCGCTTATTTGTATTTGCAGCTAGATCGTTTTGTTTTGTTTTGTTTTTAAAGTATGACCAAAATGCTGTTTGGCTTCTTTTTAATTATTTCCTTCCTTTTTACGTCTACAGTAACAAATATTTCTGATTTTAATTCCCAGTGTTCCAGGATGTGTGATAAATGTCCAGTGTGCACAGATGCAGTAAATTTCTCTTTATTAATTTTAATTATTGTTGAGCCATGGTTGGTTAAACAGTCCCTGTCTTCTTATGGAAACAACTTAATATGGTTTTTGACTAACGGTTTTCATCAGCATCCATCACCAAATCGTTTTCTTCCTAAGAAACGGGGTTGGTAGTCTATTTTCAGTGCTAGCTTGGGAAATCTTATTACCAAGAAGGTAGATGGTATATTTTAGGGAGAAATTTATTTAAATTAACCAGTAAAATAGTCTCTGCAGAGAATTGTGACAATTATAGTAATGTACTCTTTATTCCTCTACTCAGCAAGTTAGATACCCTTTATTTTCTCTGCTGTTGGTCATTCAGAAAGAAATGACACGTCAGCTCTAGATGGCGAGGGTTAGAGCTGGCATTTGTTAGCAGGGAAGAGCGAAGAACCGAGATCCAAGAGCTGTGTGGTCTCGCGGAGCTGCGCTGTGCAAACTGGGAGTCGTCATCAGGAGACAGAGGAGAGCTGGTATTTGTGTTCTTTAATGTTCTTCCAGCTCTGGTGTTTTGTGGTTAGCACCCAGCATCTCTTTTAGACCTAAAACAAGGAATGAAGGCGCGTATAGAATCAGCTCACCAGGAGGTGGGGGGAGGAAGTTACCTTAATGGGAAGGGCACCCGGCCGCGAATGGGAAGTCTCTGGCTCGGTTTTCCTCTGTAACAGGGAGCTTTGTCACTTAGGGCAAGGTGCTTAGTCACCAGTCCATGAAGTTATCCTCGGTTCCGAGATGCTGTGGGCTCCACAGTCAAGTAAGATGCAGAAGGAACAAAGGTGTATATAGCACTTGACCCGATATTAACAGGAAGTAAGAAAATTTGAGTTTGGTGAGTTTTTTAGCAGTACAGGGTAGGTGCTCAAAGGAGTATTTTATGGCATTTTGCGTCACCTTGGAGAGTACTTTGTTGAAGCCTGAAGCGGCAGAAGATCATTACTCTCACTGCAGGAATCATCAGTTGGAACGAGTCCAAAGATCAGCCAGTCGGGTGAATGGGGTGAAATGGTCAGCTGTTAAGGCCAGGTTTGACCATGCAGTGTAGATGTTTCTTTCGTTTTGTGGAAACTTTGTTTTCCCCTAAGCGTATGCTTTGGTGTGATCTAACGAAATTAATGTAAAGAAGCAGTGCTCAGAATGACGGCCTCACCTGCGGCAAACCCCGGCTGAGGGAGAGGGAGGCTGAGGGAGAGGGAGAGGCGCACCAAGAGGGCGTTGGGGCCGGGACTCCTATGTGTTTACCCTGTGGTGCTGAGGGTCTAGAGGAGAAGGCAGGGGTGGTGTGAGAAGGTGGCGGGCAGCACACAGCTGCTCTGGATGGAGAGGCATGGAAGGGCTGTGGTCTGAACACGGTGCTCCTTGAGAGTTCTGTCAGCGCCCTTGGGAGACACTGGCATGGTTTTCGCCAGCCTGGAGTGCTTGTTCTCTGTGGCTCTAGTAAGCGCACTTTCTTCTCTGCAGATCTGAAAGCTGGAGTAGGAAGGGTGCACATCGCTGGCCCAGCCACTTGCTTTAATCTGCCCAATTACCTGCCTCTCGTGCTTTGGAAACACAGAAGATCCTGAGGAATCGAGAGAAAGTGTTATTCTAGAAGCTCTTCCTCTGAGACATGAGGCCAGGATGTTGCTAGTGTTTCCCTAACTGACTTTGTTTGGCTTTTGGAGATAGGGTCTCACTGTGTAGCCCAGGCTGGCCTTGAACTTGCAGCAATCTTCTTGCCTGATTACAGGCATGCACCACCGTACCTGGCCCTAACCGAGTTTCTTATCTACTTGTGGTGGCAAATAGTTATGAGAAGTACAATTTTCTTACTAAACTAATGCTGAATACACACAAGGCAAAACTAATGTCTGTAAACATTGTACATTAGTCCGAAATCTTTGTTCTCCAAGCTTGATCTCAATCTAAAGAAAATGTCCTCATTCTTATTCCAGAATTCCACGGACGTCTTCTGGTTTTCTTTGAGGGACTCTTGGAAGAAAGAGTTAAAAGGAGGTCTATTCATGGAGGCCAGGGTTTGCTTGGTGGCCTTAATACCATGCTGAGATCTGTTTTTCTGGGAGAATTAACCTAATATGCTGTCAGTCACCTATGCCTGTTGCTTCTTCACCAGAGATTGGGATTACACCATCTGGGTGTATGTCTGATCTTGCTAGGTCAGCCTACTTGGTCATAGCAGAAATCCCAGGAGCTTTGGGCAGTGGTGGAAATACTGATGTTTTGTAGTAGAGGCGAATGTAATGGAGAAGACCAGCTCTCAACCTCTCTGATGCCCCTTACCTGTCTTTGTGAATGAATGTGCCTCGCAGACCCCTCCATGACCCTCTCTGCTTTCTCCCAAACACCTTAGGAACTGTGAGACTGCGGTTGTGTCAGAGACCGGCAGGAACACTGAGAGGTGTGTGTGGGCAGAAAACCGGAAGCCAGGGCACTAGAAAGGTATCTAGACATCTAAGGGAGAGAAGCCTGGGTAACATTTAAAATGAAGGTGGGGATTTCCCATAGTAAGGCAGTCAGGACGTTCAACAAGTACAAAATCTGTGACTATTGTTTTTTGAGAATACTGGGAAAATACACAAGTGGCCTTGTGTCATATCAATTAAATGCAAGAAAAACCATAAAACCTGTGCTACTCCAGGTGCACAGAGGGCAGGCGCTGGGCAGGGAGGGGACAGAGTCCTGCTTGTGCTGCTGCCTGGGGCTGGTTGTCTGGAGAAGGATCTGCCTCATTATGTTATCTCAGGCACACTGCTGAGACTCCCTGCAGTGCCTGCAGTTGCCTCATCTCTGAAGTGAGGTTAAAAATACAGTGCACAACTGGAGGAATGCAATCCGAGGTGGTGTGGTCACAGCATGGTGGCCACAGGTGGGAGCAAGAGCCCCAGCTGGTGTAGATAAACGTCCCCAGGGTGGCTTCCAGGGAGCCTGAGGAG